GCCATTCCCGACATTCTTGAAGTGGATGATCAAGTTTCCCTTCTGCTCCTCCTTTTGATCTACAATTATACCTATCACACTCAACAATGATGACACAACAACAATTGAATTTAACCAAATTCAAATAAACAAATAATAAACTAAGTCGCTAACTACCGACTTAGGGATTAGCTAATCTTATTCTAATATTAATTGACAAAATCTAATTTTTTTTATAACTAAGTAATTACCCTCCTATTTTAATCAACTTGCACTACCCTTGCCTAGATGTAGCTGTAACTGTAGATTGGAAACTGCTGTCACTATAAGATATATAAAGTAGGACTAATGTAATGATAACTAATCAATAAATCACCATAAAATTATTCAAGTAACTAATTCACAAATAATAAATAAATAATAATTAAATTTCCTTCGTAAACTATATTTAATATAATAATAAAGTTATTAAATTTATAAATTTCTATTTAATTATTTCACCTTTAATTTAATTAAATAAATATACTAAATCTATATATCTATAAATTAAATAAATAGATATAGTAAATAATTATATGATCCTATCTACTAAAGATTTTAACAAAATATATCTATGCTGAAAGCAAATGACACTGGTCCTATATAAACTTCTCAAAAATTATGATACCAATAATCATACACAATTTGTCAACAAATTTTAGAAATAAGTAATGATGATGATGATAAATCGAATAGGAATGGTATATTTGTTCCCCAAAATTTACAGAAGTAAATAAATAATGATTCAATAATTACCAAAAATTACAACCAGAAATAAATAAACAATAACAATTATATCGTTCACAATAATATACCCGCAACCTAATAAATTTTGGTATAAAATATGAATAGTTGATAAATGAAAATCAAAAAAAATAACTATGGTGTAAAATAATATAACCACCAAGTAATAGTTATTAATAAATAAAATATCAGAAAAATCAATATTACAATAATAAATTATTGCAATATAATGAAATAAATTCAATTAAGTACGCCCATAATACCTATAAATTCAATTAATAAATAATTCTAGTTCTATTGATGTCGGTTCTAAAGTAAATCCGAAACGGTGTATTAATAACGCCAAATTGTACGCACACTTGAAAATATGTAACTTGAAACACTATTAATTTTGCGATAGTCTAAATACACTTGAAGAATCGTCACTTGACAAAAGCACTGTAAATATATCGGATTAAGTTACTTTTTCCTGCACGGCACACGATAATAGTTATATTTCTTGCTGCTTATTTTCACAAACTACTAGGAATTCCAACTACTTCTGATATGTCCTGAATATCTAACCTAAACACAGTTTTGCTGAATTTAATCAATGTTTACCTTGTTCTGTCCTGGCTGACAATCTCACTGTGGCCTGTCGTTCCGCGTGCACACACTGACTCAAACTTGCTGTGTGACCTAGTTCGCCAGTTGTAGCAGATTAGGATAATTCTGCTAGCTTTTGCCAGTGGACTGCTGGTTAACGGCAATTTCTCAGCGCTGTTGATAGATATTTCTCAATCCACGCTGTGATGAATGGCGACCCGGAAGTCTCAGTTGACTCGTTGATCGTGAAATATTGTGTTCGCCCTTTTATTTATTCGTGGCTTTTGGCTTTCTTGTGTATCGCGCTGTCATTGTTGACGCGTAGTGGACAACTTCTTCGTCGTAAATGTCATACAGCCATTTGATCTGTTTCTCGTAGGCTTCTTGATGAATTTGCAGAACGACGCAAAGTGCCACGTAACCCAGGGCAGTCTACGTGTCCTTTAACCTTTCACCCACGTGACGACATAACCCAGCGTCAGGCGGTTACAGTTTAAATTTTTTGTCGCAACTGTTCGGTGATTCCAGCAACTATGCGTTTCACCAGATATCGTCTCTTATATGGCCGTCTATCACGATTTTCCGTTTAGACTTTCAATGGAACCTCATCTGCGTGTACGTGATAGTCTCCGGTATCACTTTTCGTAGCTCCGTTGATCAAACTATCAAAACTTTCGGCTTTCACTGTGCAACTGATGTTTTTACTCGGTGACCTCACAAGCTGTGCTCTCTCATGCAGACTCCGTCACTTATATATCAGTCGTTTGACTTCTAATGGCCCTTCAACGTCTGCGTGGCAAGTAGCAGCTCATGATATCATCTCGCCGTTGCTGTTCTGTTGCCCGGTTATCTCCGTTTTTCAAGCCTCCAATTGTAATGAATGGGTTTTGTCTTTCTACTCGTTGTCTAGGCGGTGTTCATGCGTGTGTGGTGGATGATATTCTGACACGCATCACGTTACACACCTGGCACAAGCCGACACCGATGTGAGCTTACGAGACATTACTTTATTGACGTATTACAACTTACGACAAACAGAATCGTCCAGTCGATGTCTAATTGAACCGCTTTCGTACACAAACTCACGCAGCCTTTTTACGAATAGTCTTCTGCAGGCATTCAAGCAACGATGGGTCCCATGGATTCAACACTGACGTTTGGACATCTCACACGCTGGCATGGTTGATCTCAGCTTAACATTTCGTCGGCAGGTCTCCTTTCTCCTCAGGCACTCACGTAGACATTCGTACATTCAATCGCTCGTCCTCTCGCTCCAACAGGTCGACACAAACTAAACTTGACCAGAGTCAAGTCTGACTTATACCAGGGGTTCCTTTCACGTGACAACACGTGGTGGTCCTTTACTTTTCCCGTGGCGACCTTGGGTCGCATCACCGTGGTCCCCGTGATAACTAGTGGTTAGTCACCTATCTCCAGATTCTCGTTTAATCCAAGTATTTGGACTATCACAGTGTTTTTGGTCAGCTTTGGGCTTTCCCCCCAACCATCCTAAACTGAGTGGAAAATATCCCCCATTACAATGAGGATGCACACTGGCAAGACATTCACATCTTTTAACAGCCTGTACAAAATATGGAAATCTAAACCTTAAAGTTTTAAAATAAATTAGTTAGTTAGTTAGTTAGTTAGTTGGGTTATGATCATTGCACTCCGGACATGTCCATAGGTGCTCAGACACCCCCCCCCCCAGTATAAACCCCAAAGTCCGTTTGAAAATAAAGTTCAATTCTAATGTGGAGAACCGCTAAGGACATGGAATGAAGGTGAAATGCATTCGAAAAAAACAAATGCCTGAGAAAAATGTTGAACATAAAATAGGAATGAACTGAAGAGGAGTGATTAAATGAGAAATGTCTCTGGACAACTACTGGTAAGAACAGACATAAGACAAAGATGATATCGCTGTATCGGACACACTATGAGAAGATACAAGCAACATAAGACAAAGAAAATAGTGCTATATCTCCAAATCTAAAGGTGGTAGCAGTAGTAGTCGAGTTTTCAACTTTGTTGAGCTCGGGTTACCCCATACTTGCCCCACTCTTGTGCCTGTGCAAATCAAATGAAATCCCTCACTGACCCATTTGAAAAACTGGTGACCAAACAATTCCAGATACAATCCAGAAACATGTACAAGCAGTAATGGCATAACGTTGTTGCTAGAGGTGCCAAAGCCAGCAGTCACCACCAGAAATGCAGTTTGTTGTTGTCAGAAGTAGTCAGTCATGATAAGTTTGCCATACACACGTACAATTATTGCATAAGGTCTTCGGCAATGTGTAAACCAGCTATCAGCCATAGGGAATACCATGACACAACTGCTACACAAATGAATGGCATTCCACATGAAAAACACAACTCATAGTGCTGCACCAAGCTCTTAACTTAGCTGCTAAGGCAGCGTAATCTGAAGGCTTTGTATTCTGACTGGTTTGCCATGTTCTCCTTATAGACCAGTTTGCCTGGTAGATAGTTAGGTAGGTAGGTAGAGGCAGAAAGGCGCTGGCAGACAGATGTACACACGGAAACCATGATGAATGACAAGAGACATCCTAGGTTAAACTCATGCTCCAAATCTACAGGGCGTGTATTCTAACCGGTCTGCCACATTTTCTATTTAACGTCAGACAGATAAGTAAGTTATAGGGGATAGATGTAGGTACAGACACATGTACACATACATATAGAACAACATTAGTTGGAGGCAGTCAAAGTAGCTTTCGACTGGCTTGAGAACACATGTACATACATGTCGTGATTGTAACCGACTTACAAAGCATGTTAAGAAAGGTGGAGGCAGGCGAGCTCCATGCAGAGTGGAAAGCATTACTTCAGAGGTCCTGGGTAGTTAGCGTTCTTGAGATACTTTCTCCGGGGCATACTAGAATGTTGGGAAATGAACAGGCAGGCAGACTGGCTGGTTCTGCATCAAAAGGGCAGTGAATTTATGCATGTCAAAATAGATGTGGTTAAGGCCCTTTGGGAGAAGGTGAACACTGCAGAGACAGGGATCGATCATTATAATCTGGAGAGAATGGTACACCTGTGAGTGGCCAGGGGATCTGCTCCACAATTTACACCCAGAGGAAAGGCCAGATATATAATCAAACTACTTCTGGCCAGATATATAATCAAACTACTTCTGGCATCATTGGAATTAGAGCTCTTCGTTGGCTGTTGATGATGAGTATGGAGCGCTTGAGAGAATGTCCCAAGCGCTTCAATATCAGTTCGTAGCTCAACACTTGACAGCAGAGACAGACAAATGCAATGAAAGGCAATAAGATAGACAGACAGGAGCAGGTAGGCATGTGTGTGTTGTCTATCAAGATGATGATGACGACCACTTTTTTCATCAAGTATGAGTGCCAAGATGACTGATGAGGCCGACATGGGCCCGAAAAGTTCTTGGACAGTGAGGACAGGGAATGAGCGTTGTGCCAGGGAGGGGATCTCCTGCAGTCGCCTTTCTGTCCATCCTTTTCTTAATCAGTCTTGCTGTTCTGCTTGCTTCACATGTAGCTGCGCCCTTGTGTAGAGTTGCATGCCATGCATTTCGGTCTTGAAAATTTCGGTCTTGTAGGCATGTACACCAAGACAGGCAGACACAGAATGACATACACAACACACACCTTTGTATCACAGGTGAACTCAGCAACTTCCTTCAACTTCATGGTCTTCAATAGCTTCTCCCAAACCTCCAGCTTAAACTTCTTGCCGAAGATGAGCTCCATGGGTTTCCCTGTATGCCTGCTGTCATCTAACACTGTACGCTCCTCATCTGCTTTCATCGTTCGATAATGAAAAGTTGCCTGATAAAAACAGTACATGGTAAATTATTTACTGTAAGACACATGCTAAATGTCTTATCTTCAAGAAATGACCCCGCCCCTAAATACATCATCATCATCCTGTTCTCCATCACATGTCATACAGTGCATGCAGCTTAATCCTCCATTCTGTTCTTTCCTGTGCAATCTTTGCAATATTAACTCTTTGAGTCCAAGTGGGGTTTAGCATCACAGGCCCAGGGGGTAGTAAAGAAAGTAATAAAATCAGCGCATTATGCGTTCATTGGGCTTCTAGGTAGGAATCTATGACGCATTCCTTGGGACTCAAAGAGTTATGCATGGAGTCTAGTTCAGCCCAGAATCCATTTTTTTTCCTTCCGATTCCACTATAATTTGTCTATGGTATTATCCGCCACTAAAATGTTAATATGTCCGCTTAGAATTTACATACATGCTTCACTAAGGTATCATTCATTTGTAATTCTTATCTCTGTCTAGCTGTGATGGTTTCATTAGCAAAATACCATATATAAAACTTTATAAGCATCCCTAATATATAACTCCCATGGAGGCTGAACTGACTGAGGTATCTGGAAATTGTTATTATTTCAGACTGGCTTCCAAAATGTGACTCTTTGAGTCAGCAATTTTGAAGATTTTAGCGGAGTATCCATCTGTTACTATTCATAAGTAAAAATCAAGGTTCTATTTATGTTTCCTGGTCCAAACAGCATAACTGAGCTTTCATTCATGCTTTCTCACATATGACACAGGCCAGTCTATGTTAGAGGGGTGTCACATTGTCTTGTGATTGCAAAGAGGTTTCTATATTGTGTGTATATAGGCTCCAAGCTACACACTGCGTTTTACTGGTTCCTGCGACTGGGCGGCAAGATTGCGTATATTGCCGACTTCAGGTACGCCATGAATTTAGGTCATCTGTCAGCGTTAATGAGCTACGAGGAGGAGAGAGTTGCTTTTCTGGAGCAAAATGGGTTTTTAGGGTGGAGCAGAAAATGTTAACAATTCTGAAACCATGACACATACTCTGGACTCTCTCACAGGACCTAGGCTGAGGCTGTGGGTAAGGGGTATTTGGATTAGGACCAGTTCTAGATGTTCTGGGGTCGTTAAAAGCTGTGTTGTCTTGTAGTATAAAACATGTGACACCGGCGCTGATAAACTGGAGACAAGACAAAGTGACATCCCTCTAACACAGACTAGCCCATGTCAGAGGTGAGAAAAAAAAGGAATGAAAGCCCAATTATGCTATGTTTGGGCTGGGAAACTTAAATATAAGCAAAACCCAATATGTAAAACTTGACTGAAGTAACTATTACATTTTACTGACTCTATGTAAGAAGAATCATAACCTATCATTTGGCATGAATAATAGTTCCTGTTTGAAGCCTTTTTACCTGTTGACCCCCCACTCCCCGCACCCAGACTGACATTTTGGATGCACACAGTGGTTTAAACATTTTTTATTATACTTTTAAATGAATATAAAATAGTTATTTAATCATTTTTTGAATCTTTAGCCATTATAGCATTTTTTTTTTAGCCATAACCTATCATTTGGCATGAATAATAGTTCCTGTTTGAAGCCTTTTTACCTGTTGACCCCCCACTCCCCGCACCCAGACTGACATTTAAAAAAATGTCTCCCACACATTTCTGCACTGATTTTGTGGTGCATTTTTATTGTCTTAGTATAAATAACAGTTACTATTTATGACTGATACTATTAGTTTTAAAATTGTAGTATTAGTATTTATAGATGCTTATTTAGAAAGTTGATGATTAATCAAATTAATAATAAATTATAATTTGTTTAACTGTGCATAAGTTTACTTACTTACAGCCAGGGCTACTTACAACTTATGATTATTAATATTTAATAAATATTTTCTTTATATACTAATATATATTAGCCAGCAAACAGATCACATGGGACATAGATACGTTAATAAAATATATATAATGTTCTTTTTCCTCTTACCTTATGAAATGCTGCTCCATCAAAACACAACATAAATCCAAAGCGAATCACAAAGGAGCTTATTTAATAATTTTACTCCATAAAAACATAGCACTGAATCACAAATCAGGTATGAGCAGTTACCTTAGATTATTTTGAACTAGTAAATAAAATATCCAGCAGTGTTAGTTAGGAAGAAGAGGGGAACACTGCGGTAAAATGCGCTCATCATCAATAAAATTAAAGAATAACTCGCAAAGACTGAAGAAGGGATTATGTTAAATCAGTAAAAAGGGTGCATATTTTCACTTGGTTATCAAACAATATTGGGGGTCCCTGTAGGAAAGTGGTCAAGCCATTAACCTCGTGCTCGAAAGGTTGCAGTGAGTTATTTTACAACTGCGTTGTTCGACTCAAAAATGCATTTTGTCTGGGTTAACAGGGACCCCTGGAGGCTGTTGCTGGAGCTACGGTATTCAGGCTTCATGCTAAGGTCTCAGCATGCGGCTAGTCGTTCATGGTTATGTGGAGAAAGACCAAGCCATATGAAACCAGTAACGATGCAGTGAAGTCAATCCACTCGCTATTGAACATTTTTTAACAGTGGAATAGTGCAAATTTCGGTCAGATGTATACACACTACACACACACACACACACAAGTGAGAGTGCGAGAAAAAGCATTTTTAAACAAATAGGGAAGAGATGCATCATACCAAGAAGAATAGTTACGAAAGTATGCATATTACAGTATATGTCTTGGAAGACTCACTGGATAATAATCATTAATTCATAACGTTATTAATATTGATAAATTGACTCATTTTTATGTTATTTAGGTTTGCATCAC